ACAATGACCAATAAATGAGGTGTAAAATTGCATCTCATAAAAAAACTACTAAACTGCAATGACCACACTAAACTGCAAATTCCACAAGAACACAATGACCACACTAAAATTCAATTTCCAAATAAAATTTATAATGCACACAATAATAAAACAACAAAGATAAGTATCCAACAAAGCTAAATAACTATACAAACACATTTAGAAAAAAATGTCACCCGAAGTATACAATTTTGATTCCTTTGTCGCCACCAACCAAATAGCCATTGACATGCTTATTATAATTATACAAACAACTTTAAAGGGTAGTGAGATAAAAATTTTACCTTCCGGCGAGGACATCTGCAGAACCTTCGAGCTGGGTTGTCACTCGTCATCGATGTGAACACATCGGCTGCATCGCCACAATCACATAGCCTAACCTTAGACGGATTACTAGAGGATCGGCTATATCGATTGTTTGAACTTGTGCGAGAAGTATTTGACATCTTGCTTGGCTGAAAATGTAAAAATTAATAACGTACGAGTCATTTCAATCAGGATATGGAGATTAACATAAAGCAAGGTGTGTTCAGGAAAAGGACAATTTCAGTTTCTAACAAATTAGAAAAACCAAAAGCTTGAAAAGTAGAAATAAAAACATGTTAATTGAAAAACATGTCATCCAAAAGCTTGAAACTTTGTTTATTGAAAAATATGTTACGGGATTAGGCATCATCTGTTATATTCTACATACAGTGTAGCTAGGCAATTAAGCAAACAGTCAACACTAAAAAATTAATAAGGATGACATAATCAAACAGTAATGCATGTCTAGTAGTAACCATAATCAAACAGAGGCAACTTGTTCACTCGGTGCATTAACCATAATGCATGTCCAGGTGACTTTATTTTCATCAGTAATGCATGTCTAGTAGTAACCATAATCAAACAGAATTTTAGATAGATATGTAAAACTAAAGGTTTCAACGTGTCCAAGCAAGCTAATACTTCATGAAAAATTGCACCCACTTGCAAGTAGTTTGGTATATCGTAGTTAATGCCCAAAAGATGTGAACAAATGTGATATACAAAATAAGATAGCATCCATACTCCCCGAAGGCCAGCCCCACTTTTTCTTTTTTTTTTTTCCTCAAACGATGATAAATATTATATATCAAACTCAAATAATACACCGTTCGAGTAGCCAACGGACTACACCACAACAACCCACACCTGAATCATCTAAAGAGCACAAAAAGGAAGAACATCACATAAAGGATGTCTCCTCAGTAGCCATATTAAAAATTTCAGGTCCACCACAAGTTATATGGGAGTGCAGTCTCAACTGGGAACCCTTGCACAAATTAGTAAAGCCATTGATCCCAAGCTTCATCAACACCTTGGTATGGATATTTTCCCCATAGAAACTTCCAATTTGTGGATTTCTAAAGTCCAATGAAATCATAGAAACTTCCACATTTTGGTTTCATGTTCAATTCATCCTAAACTGAGTTATAAGCAACAGAATCAGTAGTAAAAATACAGGACACAAACTTCTTAACTAAAACCAAAATGTCATCCACAATTACAGCAACATCATGAGAAAAGCTTGCCCCTATCCAAGTATATTGTCTAATTTGTAAATCAGATAATGGATTTCGTTTTAGTCCGAGGCTTTGAACCCAAATTATCCACATTAGCTTCATAATTTCTTACAATGTTCAAAATAAGAAATCCTGTCATGAATTATGCATCAAAACTACAACAAATCAGACCAAAGTTCAGTGTCGCGTTTACAATTTCAAACTCGGGCATACCACAGTACAATTAACAAATCCAATTTCTAAGAAATTTAATTACATCAAAAGCAAACAAAATTGTATTAGTTGAACAAAGATTTCCAATTTCACTGATGGAGAAATTACCTGAGGTCGATTGTCGGTAAATAACCCTAAAACTTGTGAAGGTGATTTTTGAAAGAAGGCAGTTGCCCTCACTGCACGGCCGGCGGGTCAAACTTGTTTCAACACCCGTCGTTCGTCGTCGTCTATGGTGGAGTTCAGCTTGCGGCGGCTTCTCCACAAGGGTTGGTTCTCGTTTTATCTTCTCGCGCCTCGTCGTACTGATGAAATAGGGCAAAATTACAGAAGGTCGATTGTTGAAGAAGGGGGCCAAAACAAATTGTACATAATGAAGGGTATACAAGTCTTTTGAATGGTTCATGTCTAGCTTAATCAATCAAAGTAAATAAGGGATAAGTTTCAGCTAATCCCGTACTACAAAGTAAACATTAGACTAAATGATGACGTGGAAAGGTGACCAGATTATTTACTCTTATCCCATCCCTCGAAGTAAACGACCCCTAAAGATATGAATCTCTTGAACTTGACCACCAACTTTGTGTCAATCATATCGTACTAAAAGAACTTACCGATAAAAGTGTCGTTATCTTCTATTTTGTACGTTGCTTCCAAAGAGTTCCACAACTCCTTAGACATCTCAACCGGGCTATACACATTATATAGTGTGTTGTATAGTCCGTTAAGTATTAGATTCCTACAAAAAAAAATCACTATAATGTCAACCATCCAAGTCCATACGTTTTTGGATGTTAGTCTCACTTTCGGGGACGATCAAAGAGTCCTCCAAAGTAAACAAGAGAGGGAGAGAGTTCCAAGATAGTAACATCCTTTGCTGCCACCTCTTGAAAACAGAGCCATCGAAATTCGGCAATCTCTCCCTTGGATGGGAGCAGCTAACATGGGGATGAAAGGATTGGTAGTCGATGTAGCGGATGGTTGAGCACTTGAAGAAGACGTTTGGTTTCCTTTGGTTGCCATCCTATTAAGATTGTAGTTTGTGTGGTTTGTGAATATAAAAAAGACGGCTTAAGGAGAATGAAGAAAATGAAACAAAAATCAAAGTCGAGGTACATAATAATTACGTTCTCCTTAAAACGAAATTGCCTCGTAAAATACTCACAGTTAACGGCAAAAGCCTCAAAGATACTACTTTCGACTTGTATATTCAAATATACAAGCCTTCGACGAACACTACTATTGTTTGGAACTCTCAAGACTCAATGAAAAAAAATTATAAATCACGATACGCTATATGATCTTTGAAAAATAATGTAAGAGCACTGTAATTTTCATTTTATGAATGATTTCAAGTATGTGGGTATTTATTAATTTTCATTCTATCACTATGTCCTATGCGACCACAGTAGTCGCACAGTAAAAACAAAAGGACAAAAGATTCTCATACCTGAAGTCAATTCAATGCTCCTCTCTGCCCAATTTTATGGTTGTGCCTCTAGGTATCGATTCCTTCACTTTAACTGCTGTGAAGATTCTAATTATCCTTCCATTGAAGTTCTCTGCTCCTAGGACATCGACATCCAAAACCTTACTGAAAATCTTGCCCACCTTCAAACCCATCTCTTCCAATATCCAATGGAGCGGTAGGTTATGGATTTGGATCCATTGCTCCACCTTTTTCTATTCATCTGTGAACTCCACCTCATTATTCATCCACTCTTTGAGCATTAAGTATTGTACATCGAAGGACCACGCTTTTCCTTTGGATACCTCGACTCTATTCTCTTCTACTTGGAAAGCAAACTGGAAAAGGTTCTCGCCCAGAGCCCTTACTGAAAAGGGTCTGATTATTCTCCAAGTAACACCCAATGTTGTCTTAACTCACTGAGATTGACATTTTTTTATCTCTGATAACTTTTTCGATCAAACTGAGCTCACATTCCTGGATACCAGGCTCTATATACGATTCCAAAATTATAATTTCAATCTTCTCTTTCTCTGATAGTTCGAATATGTTTAGCTTATCGATAATATCTTGCTCCATACCTCCTCAGGAGTCCCATAACCTCACCAGTGCCACCAATGATCAAGAAACAAACGGCCCTGCAGGAAAACAACAAAGAAACCAAATTAAAACCCCAACACATACGAAACTTAACAACCCAAGAAAACCCTAGCAAAACCACCACCAAAAGAAAAACTAAGGCTTGAAAAGGCGAAAAAACCTGAGAAACAACAACAGATAAAGGGAACAAAGGAAAAGCAAAGCAACAGAACTGGAAAACTAAGAATCACGCAACTTATGGATATTTGAGAAAGTCCGAAGGCCTGCCCACCTTATAGTCCAAGGAGTTGTTCGAGACTGGATTAGTTTCTTGGGAAGGAAGGAGAACCAGGCCAAAATCTAGATTGCTGCAGACAGGCTAGGACCTTGGTTAGTGGTCTGTCTTCTTGTGTTATTTCTGTGTTGTTGGGGGTTAAGGTTCGGTGGATGTTCACTGCTTCATCCCTATTGCTGTGTTGTGTTGTTAGTTGTTTTTTCTTTTCTTTTTTCTCTAGACCACCTCCGTGTGGTTCTCTCATTTTCGGCTTTAGCTAGATTATTTTCGATTGTTGTTGTAATTTCAATTGCAGTGGACTTTGTTGTCTGGTTGTAATCTTTTTCATTTACAATGAGATATCTATCTGTCTTTGGAAAAAAAAAAGAATCCAAAGAGATGGAACTCAAGAACTTCAACAACGCAGAGAGGCTTTCCACACGGGGAAAACTTTCTAGTCAATTTTTTCAAGAAGATTCACTCACTTTTGATCCGAAAGGATTTTTCCAACAGCAAACTAAACCAAAGAAACAGTTATTTCTATGGAGGAGATGGCACAATGGGCATCAGCATATCCTTTCCCAACTCCCAACCATTTATTATCACAACAAAGAAAAGAATACAAGAAAATCATATGCGTATATATTATAGTCACATCACCCAGAAAACGAAATATAAAAAACAACAACAAATATTGCATAACCATGCTTAACCAGTGGTCTCGTGTTCGAACCCTGGGAATGCAGCAGTGTTAAAACTCTTGAGGGGGTGAGCTTTGCCGCCCTTGTGGTCCTACCCGACTCGATTCCGGATGAAAACGTCCGTACCAAAAAAAAATATTGCATAAAGATGCATAGAAACACACACTCATAAACCATAATCATCAAAATTCAAATAATCCCTCAATTCCACAACCTCCTAAATTATCCACAAAATTAGCTGAATCCAACAAACCCCCAAATTCATAACCATCAACCAAACCAAATTCATCCATAAAACCATCAAAGAAGCCATCCCTACACTCCAATCCACCTCCAGCCACACCATCCCCAACAATCGCAGCCGCCGGCCCTTCCACCGCCGGCATATGCCCCTCAAACAACGCCATGTGCCCGAACAGCTTATCCTTCCTCGAGAAGCTCGTCCCGCACGAGCACCTCCACCTCTTCTCCCCACAGTGCCTCAAGTGGCTCTTCAAATCCGCCATGACCGAGAAGCTCTTGCTGTTGCAGCGGTTGCACGAGTACATCTTGGGGCAGTGGCTCCTCCTGAAGTGGTTCTTCACGCACACGGCGCTCTTCAGCGGCCTGAACTTCTCGTGCCGCCGGTTCCTGTTGCAGCCGGCGTGCGGGCACGAGAACCGGGTTTTCCGGCCGGAGGATGAGGCGGCGTCGGGCTTGGACAGGGCCTCACGGGTTTTGAAGCGGTTCCCGTGGGCCCGCATGTGCATCCGAAGGTTGGCGTCGCGCTTGAACCCTTTCCCGCAGATCTCGCAGAAGTGGGCGTGCTCGGCCAGGAGCTCCACAGCGTCCATCTCTACGATCTCGTAGCCGTCCGATTCGTCCTCCTCCAGTTGGATCTCTGGTTTCGGATCCGCGGGCTTCAGCGGGTTAGAATCTGAAAACTTCGAGGAGGGGGGAAGGCTGCCGGATGATAAGAGGGCGGCGCCGTTGACGATGATTTGGTGGATGGCGGAGGATAACTCGGACGAAACGGCGTCGTTTTGGCTCTGACCGAGTGGGGTGCGAGAGTTGACTGAATCGGAGAGGAACCTGCGGACGGCGTCGACGCGGGACTGGACGGCCGAGAGCTTCGCAAGAGCTGCGCGGGGGTCGGCGGCGGCGTAGTCGAAAATCATATTTTGTTATATTTATTTGTTGGTTTTGGAAGGAAATTTAGATTTAAATGGGGTTTGTTGATTGAAATGTGATTAATTATGAGCAGGTTTGACTTGTCTTTGTGAAGTAAAGTAGATAGCCACGATCCAAGAATAAAATAGTTGGACACGTGGGAATGTGGACCTATCAAGGTCCTGGAACGTTCATTTTTGTCCTGGAAGGATTAATAAGTAGCTGTAGGTTTTCAACACCTCGGACAATAAAAATTGTTACGAAAATAAAATCATAATCATTTTTAATTTTTATATATATAAAGAAAATCATTAGTTGTTTAAACTTCTTCGAATTGAATAAAATTAAAAAAAAAAAATATATGGGTACCATATAAATATTCACATCTGGTACCAAACCGAATTTCCTAATACCAGGGGCTGCTAGAACCGATTTGTTAGGGAGTATAACTCAGTTCGACTCGTAAAAAATCAATCGTGATTCATTCATATAATAAAACATAAAATGAAAACTTAGTTCAAACGAGCGGAGCTTAGTTGACTATACTCAATTATTAAAAGTTTCGAGCCAAACATGTTCATTTATTAGACGAACACAAGTTCAAACACGATATACTCGACTCAATTTGGCTTCAATGATATTTCGCTGAAATTGTGGAATTCTAAATGTCGTTTCATTGATCTGCTATGCAAATTAATGAATTTAAATTATTTATTTCACATATTCAAATATAATTTATTTAAAAGTTAACAAGTTGATGTATTTCACATATAAACTAATATAAATAATATAAATTAATCGTGTATTAAATCAAACATTAAAAAATAAAAACAAAGAAGAAAAAATAACAAAGTAAGCTATAACTACATAAAAAAACATATGAAAAGTTTGAGTCATGTCCAAAAATATGTATAATATTTTGGTTTAATATCAATTATTTTAAATGAATACGGACTAAATAATTATATCATGAATTAAATTAATAAAATATGGGTTAAAATATTTTTTTTTTATTACTACATATTTATATTAGACAAAAAATTAAGACTGAGCTGGAGCCCGGGTGAGCCACCCCTGGCTCCGCCCCTGCCTAATACCACAGAGGACCGAAAAGAAAAATGTTGTGTTAGACATGAGTTGAAAAAAGTGCGAAAATTAATCAATTAATATCTTAAACAAGTTTAATAGAGAATCATCAAAATTAATCGCGAAGAAAGGGCTTTGAGCTTATGGGCCTGTGTGTTGATATTCGAACTAAATAATATTCGAACTAAATGACCTAATGACAGAAATGTGTATCGAGTAGCTAATACTGGTCTTAATCGGTGGATCAATCCCATGAACTTGGTAGATCGTATTCTTCAATTTAACATCACTACACATACGAAAAAAGTAGACCCAAAGTATTATACGTGCTTATGCTTTTAGTTAAAAACCAACTTTAGACTAGAGAGTGGAGAAATCAATTTATGTAGTGGCTTAAGAAAAAGTTGTGTGGTGCAATGCACCATTGTGTGGGGTTAGTGGGAAGACAGACAAAAGTTGATGACATTATTTTAATTAATAATGACTCTATTATTGCAACCTCACTTTCATTGAACTTGGCTTCACTTTATTATGCCAAAATTAATATAATAATGCAATGCTATACCAAATAGTATTTTATTTTGACATAATGGTCATGAAAATTAAGTATTATATTTAGCAGCTTCATGGAAGGCGCTTTCATCCTAGAATTGCTGTATTTTGTTGATTCAACATGTTGAAAGAGTTGAAAAAAATTCACAATTGAAAAGTAAATGTTGAAACTATAAATTATCAATGAGAAAAAAAGTAAATAAATGGACAAAATAAAAGTATAAATAATTAAAAATATTAATCATATTTAAACTCCAATTACTATTTTATCTGTAATCTATTTTTTTTTTATTCAAACTAGTGTTGCATTTATTTTCAATTTTAACTTATATTGACTATGTAAAACTAAATATGTTTTTTTTTTAATATATATAGATAGACATTTAGAATGGTATTTGTATGTTGTACAATATTATTCGTCCAATCGGTTTTCAACTTTAATATAGCAAATTTTTCCCTAAATATGTTATTTTGATAAATATTTTTTTGTTAACTCATATCAACATTTTAAAAATTGGACCGGTAATTGATCGGGCTGACCTTTAAGGTCATTTGGTCAATTGTTGAACTGAAATTAATTTTTTTTTAAAAAAAAATTGTATGACCTTTGGGTAATTGGGTCAATGGTTGAACTGAATAATTAGTTTAAACAATTCAAATATATTTATACTATTTTTATCTTATAGTTACATTTTAAAAATATTAAATAATTAATTTATATGTAAATTTGTACCACGAAGTCTTAGTAATCTTGTATCTCATCATAATATTATATTGCCACATGAGTATAGATACTTAATTTTATTTTTAAAATAATAAAGTATTTAAAAAAATGTAATAGTCAGGTCAAATAGGGTTGATTCAGTCTGATCAATGATCGAATTGACCGGATTTTAATGGTGTTCCTTGTTATCTTTGTTTACACGCGGGGTTAACGTAGTCATTGGACATAACGCACTGTTACGCTAATGTGCAATCTGACAGATACCAATGTGTTGTTCGTCTAACACTATTGTGCATAATATAATGAAGTGCGAGTATTTTATATGTGCAAATCAAAACGTGATATTATGCACTGCACTTGACTTATCGTGCAACTATCAATTTTTATTAATTTACAAATTTAACCTATGAACTAAATTTCAATATAATTAAGTTTCATAAATTGCAGATTAAGTCCCTGAAAATAATCTTTTAAAAAGAAAAACAATCAATCCCAGTTTTTGAAATTTGCATGTTCCCCTATGAAATTAGTGGGTACTTGTTTCCTTTTACGGGTCTCGGCGTACAGTTCCACCCGGACTGCAACTAACGTCGGAGTCGGGATTAACAGAGATGGCAACAAACAGACGAAGATGCCAGCGCGTGCTCCATGTCCATTGGCGAGTTCAAAGACGCCTTCTCGCAACTCGTCATTGAGAGGGCCTACTTAAGGAGGGAGAATGAGCAGGCCGCCGCCACAACGACAACGTAGACGATGAGATCTGTGTGTGTGCATTTTCCGTCGGGTGTGTGCGAGTCGACCCCCCAGTGCGGCTGGAGCTAGGCGGAGGTGCGGCGGCGTCTAAGCCTCTCTAGTTTGTAGGTCAGCCCAACGAAAGTCAGACGGGAAAAACGCCGGCACGCGTGGGCTGTATGTGTGGGTGTGTGTTCTGTGTGATAGGGAGTGGAAAGTGGATGGTAGGGCCTACTGATGGATTGGAGTTTGAGGATTTGGTAATGTGTGAATTACCTTTAATGAGTTTAAAAATTTGGCTTTTTTCTCGGCATTAAATGATCAAATTATATGTCGAAGTTATATTATTATTTTTTTCACTAAGAGATATTATTATTATTATTATTATTATTATTATTATTATTATTATTATTATTATATACATATATGTGTGTGCGTGTGTGTGTGCGCGCGTGTGTGAATTGATTCAAATGAGTTCAATTATTTAAAGTGAGTATATCAGAATCAATCCTAACCACTAAATAGGGATCAAGGTGTGTTATTAAGATTTAATTTTTTTTTTATTTTTTTTCGGAACGATAGAAATATTATATAAAAACACACAAAAGTGCAAAGTACAACCACAAGCTGAATGTCGACAGCCAACAGCTGAATACAAGCAGCCAGCAGTAGAATAAACTGGGAGGTCAGGACCGAAGTCCGCCTAGAACCGACCCCAATGGAGTAATACTCTGGACCTACAAACTAAACACGAAGACACTAAGAACTCCCAAAGGGATAATAAAACAAACAGACAGCAAAAAGACCCCAACAGGGTAATGCCCGAGTGTACGGTCCTAACGGGATAATAAAATCACACTCGGGCTAACCGAGGCCAACGGCCCAAACCTAAAACACAGAAGCAAGGACAAAGAAAGCAACACACAAAAACAAAAACAAAAACTACAACCTAAACAAAAACAACAAAAAAAAAATGTCAACCTCAGCAAGAACATCTTGGAAAGACAGCAGACAAAGCCAGCTTCGAGGAGAGCTTCGAAGCTCCGGAACCACACCCGCCACTGCATAAGGCCTAGCAAGATGAAGACCTTAGCCTCTGAACAAACCAAAAGAAACCGAACCGTACACCGACCACAAGAAGTCACAATCACCCCCCAACCGGCTAACACCACTAGCCAATCTGAAACTGACCCAAAATTGCCTAACACCACTAGCCAACTCCGGGAACAGACGGCCTCCCACAAGCTCGGAAACCAAGCAAGAGGAGGAAGGGGGCGAACGACCTCAGGGCTCAGCCGCTCCGGCCCTGCCTGAAGGAACAAACTCAGCCCGAATCAAACACCTAGCCACCCAGCCCGCAAGGACGAATCCCGACCCAGCACTCCAGCACAGCCGAGGTACCAGAAACCAGACTCCGGCAAAGTCCGAAGTCCCGCAATCAGGATATCCTACCAGCCCGGTAATAGGAAACTCTCCGACCCAAGCTCGAATCCAACCTCCCCACCCAGCCCCCGAGGACGGGCCGTAGCCCTCCCGCTGTCACGCCCTTACGCTGGCTATCAGAAGGCCGGACTTAAAACCTGCAACTCCACAGCGATCGAACAAGCGGCCGCCGATTAAGAAAGGAAAGGGGAGAAATGAACAGGGGCGACGCAACCCAACGAGCCACAGCCAGCCACTGCTACCAAACTCCATCTAGCCTCTCCACCTTGAAGATTCGGTGCCACAAATCACAGAGCAACGAAATCGACGAAATCCGTCGGAGTCCTGCTACCACAACCCACGACGAGAGAGAGAGAGAGAGAGAGAGAGAGAGAGAGAGAGAG